AACTCGTACTCAGCATGGCAGCGGCGCATCTCGGACCTATTCTCTGGCGAAGAATCCAAATCATAGGTCTGTTCTGCCTCTGCATACGCAGTCTGAGCTGCAGTAAGCCGCTGAGAAATATCACCAAAAATCGTCCAGTTCCACTGCTTCAAAACACAGCGGAGTCTCTTGAGCTTCTCCTCCAGGTTGCGCATCCCATAGAGGTGCGTAGCCTGCTGCCAGAAGGCTCTAACAGTATCGTAGTAAGAGTGGTTGCGGACCCACATGTTCTAGAAACGGAAGGACGCTCGCCGAGGGAAAATAGAGAACCGACAACGAATCAGGAGAGGGGCATGGTCGGATCCAATTCGAGGAAGGTGCGTTACAACCGTAGTCGCAAACACCCTCATCCACGCCTCTGAGTAGAGAGCGCGGTCGAGCCTCTCCTTGACTCCGGCCCTCTCCCACGTAAAGGGAGCCCCTTCGTAACCAGCGTCAATGAGCTCACAATCTGATATGGCATGCGAGAAATCTAAGATCTCCGCAGAGCGGTCCGAAATACAACCAATGCGTTCGTCGGGATGCAAGAATATATTGAAATCACCGCTAATCATCCACGGTAATCCCTCTATACTCTCAACAATCTCACGCATGGTGTCCCAGAGGTCATATCGACCAACCCTCGCACAGCTGGCGTAAACCAAAGTGTGGAAGATCGGCTCCGGAAGATGGCGGCAGAGAGCTTCACGTGCAAGACTTGATCAGTATCTCGAAGGACCCGACAAGTAAAGTCACGTGAGTGGAAGAACCAAATCTTGTTAGAGGTGTTTCTCATCCCGGCGTGAAAACCAAGGCGTCGCGAATATACGTCAAAAGAAGGATCACGAGTCATAGGCTCTAAGAAAGCCGCAAAGTCAAGGTTATGCTCACGAATGAGAGATCTAACATGAGCAAGAGTGGTCCTATTAGCCATACCACGGGCATTCCATGTAAGCGATGTGACTGACATGTCAAACGTCAGTGGTACCGCCTAACTGGAGCTGTCTGTGGTTAGGCTGTGTCTGTATGTCTTGTAGGGTCAGAGCTCGGCTAGCAGAGAGCTGCGCAGTCATCGATCTGGTCTGTGGTCTCCTGTGCTCCGGGATATCCTGTAAAGGTCCCCCTTGTATAGGGGGAAACTCCTGGGGTAAGAAGATGAGTTGGAGGTGCTCCAATCCCTCGGAGCTCTGCGCCTGGCCCTGTGGTGAAGACGGACCAGACCCACTGGCGGGGGATGAGGGAGAAGTGGAAAAGAGAGTCAGAAGAGGTCGAGCTGGTGGGCAAGGGAGAGAGATAAGGTGGTGGGAGGGCAGATGAGGAAGGGCTTCGATACACAATGGGATGGCGGGGGTCTCTATCTCATCTGCTAATAGATCATCATCATCAAAAGGGGAGCTGGTCGATGCTCCCTGATGGTCAGAGGAAATGTGAAACTCCTCCTCCGACTCCGAGTCAAGCACAGAGAAGCGGGAATGGGTAGCTACGGGAGCTGACTGGAGGGACAGATGGGGAAAAAGGCCTGTAGCTTTGGCCTTGGGCCTATCGAGGTTAACCTCCTTGGGCAGAGTGCCCTCAGAGGTGACCTTGCCCTTGCCCTTTCGCCCCTTCGGGTCGGGGCTATGGGCCGGGGCCTTGCCCTTCTCCTTAGGGCTCATCGGGGCAGTAGTGGAACCCTGCCTCGCTACCCGTCGACGAGGGGGCAGAGCAGGTCGGGGCTTGTTGCCCTTAGTATAGCAATCAGCAGCCCCATGTCCTACATGACTGCATAGGGAGCAGAACGGTGGAACTCTCTCGTAGACCACTTTCTGGATAGTGGTCTTGCCTGCCTGGTCGAGCTCAATCTCCTTGATGAGCTCGTCCCTAAGATCAACCTCTACGCACACCCGTGCGACAGATAACCTCGAGCGGTTCGCCGTAGCGGCATCGGCCTCAATGGGGTTGCCAATGCAGCTGGCAATCGAAAAGAGGGCAGAAGGGTCGAAAAGATGTGGTAAAAGGCCCGGAAAGCAACACCACACCGGGACTATAGGAGATTCCTCAACAAAGGAGAAGTCTGTGGTGTATTTAAACACCCGACCAACACAACCAAAGATATTGAGGTGCGTCTTAATCCAAATCGAGTTGTAGTCCTCTCTCAACTCAAAAAAAAGTAAATAATGGTTATAATTCAAGAACTTAGGGGTCACTCTACCCTTTAAACCCAATTTGACCAAACCGACAGATAAATCCCGGAGGGAAGGGACAGTGAAGGAAAAGTTCAAAATAAGTGCATTGTCCAAAGGCTCAGCTAGGGAAATAACAGTGGGCTCAGGGAAACTTACCTTGAACCGGCCCTCCTCGGAGCGGGTGACTGTCCCACTTTGTTTGTCCCGGAAGGATTCCAACATCAATCTCTGTTGGCCCGGTTTGGCGGCGGTTGATGTGCCTGAAACCGCATCTCGAAAAGATCGTGCTCCGGGAGGCCGAAGGCCTTGGTTCGCCGGTTGGAAAGGGTGGGTGGTGTTGTTCGGACCTTGGGCATGGCTGCCCCTTTGCGAGTGCTCGTTCTCTTCCGGTGGCAAAGTGGCTGTCAAGAGAGGACCACGTCCTAATAAACTAGCCGAGGGCTGGCTGGGCTGTAAGTTATCGGGCGGGGTAGAGAGCACCGGGGCGGGCGTGGGACCCATGGGAGAGGAAGACATCACATGAAGGGCATCGCCCGCCTGGGGCTGATAGGCGCCGGCGCCGATGCCGGAGTCAGATGGTGGGGTGTAGTCTGGCGGCAGAGGGGTGGTCGCCGGGAGCTGTGTTGTCGGGGGAGACAAGGGTCGAGGTCTAGGCTGCAAATTGGGTCTGGGGTGGGAGAATGGACCTATTGAGTTGGGCCCAGTCAAATGTTGAAGGTTGGGTCTGGATTGGGAGAATGGGCTTATTGAAAGGTTGGGCCCGGTCAGATTTTGAGGATTTGGTTTGGAGAGGGAAGTAGGGTCTAAAGAGGGATTGGGCCCAGATGGTATAGGGGAGGTGGGTAGGCAAGAGTCTTGGGCCAAGAGATGGCGGCCCACATGAAGTTGAGCTGAGGGGAAAACAGACGCCAAGTGGATAGGGTTTGTCTGATGGCTGGCTGAAATCGACGCCGTGTGGAGATCTGCAACTGGCGAAGGGGAACTGTGTCTTGCCGGAATAGAGCCAAACTGCTCCGGCCAAGGAAGGTGATTTCCGACAGTCTGACTGGCCAGGGCAACAGAGACGGTAGATGGGGCGGCGCATGCGGGGGAGGTGCCATCTACGAGTGGCGGTGTTGAAATAAATCCACCTGCGCACGGCGGTGCTGAAGGCACAAGCGGACCGGAGGTTGACAGAGGAACTGATGGGCGGGGTCCACCATGGGACAACGGGTATCCTCCTCGAGGATGAAGTCGGTCAATCGGTTGAAAGATGGATTTGAAAGCCTTCTTGAGGTTGGAGGTCCAAGAATGGAGTCTGGCATGGAGGTCGCCGGAGGACGGAGTCTGGGGGCCGGGTGTGGACATCGAGGAGAGCGGGCTCTCGGAGCTCTGAGGTACGGCCATGGATGGGGAGAAAAAGGTAGAGAACGAAAGTGGAGCCAGGCCCCACGGCAGGCGGCTCGCCGCCAGCGATGACGGGCGCCGGCGAGACCTACCTGAAGGTGGTGACCAGAGAAAAAGAGGGGGTTGTGGTTGGGAGGAGGAGGGAAGAAGGAAAGGGATTAAGAGAGAGAAAGTAAGAGAGAGGAGAGAGCATTTTTTCCTTTATTCTTTGACAATGGAGAAGACCCTGGATGATATCAACTTTGTTGGTGTTATATACTGAAAGCTTGGCTCTGGATGATATCAACTTTTATCTTTCGTTGAATGAGAGTTATGTTTGATCAAATAAGTTCTATGTTCTGTTGTTTTGAACTTAGATAAGATGGTTCATTATCGTGAACATAAGATCATCTTATTGGTTATTTGTGATGCAAGAATTGTTGGGTCACAACCAAGATGGAAATGAACAAACCATCATGACAGTTGTAGTCTCAACTGTACAGTTGATCTTGACTGATTAGTTGCACTAGTATATTTATGTATTAAACTAGTATGTTTATGCATTGAACAGGATCCTGGAGAGTAGCAGTTTGTTTTGTACTGATCGTTGTAAACAAACTCAAGTCTCAGTTAATTATTGCGTTCTATTAACCCGTAAGACATAAATATGCATGTACTTGTAATAACTAGGGATGAAAACGGTGCGGTGCGGTGCGGATTATGCCTTTCCCACATCCTAATCCATTTTATTTTTGCGGATTTGGAGCGAAGCGGATATTGGGCGGATACGGATGTGGATGCGGATTGTTTCGGATATCAGAGATGGTACGGATTCGGAGCGGAAGCGGATCGGATGCGGATTTATATAGTCGGATAATACATGCTTCTACTCAACTCTTTATGACGAATAATAATTAATAAAGCAAAGTTGCAAAAAAAAATTTAAAAGAACACAAAACATTGAGTTCCTTAGGTACTTAGCTAACGAGACGAGCCAAGTACATAGCTAGTTCACAACTAGCTAAGCTAAATTATTACAAGTTCGTTCATTCTCAACTTAAAGTTCGAAACAAGTACGTCGCAGCAAATAAAAAGCTTCATTAAAGAAAAAGTGCTTCCATTCTCCTTTATTCTCCATTCCTCTTGACTTTGGTAGACAGCATCCTTGCTTGACCATGTAATGTGAAGTATTAAAGTGTCTGTTAACACATATTATTAGATTACTAAGTGTCTAAGTGACGCCAAGAAGCACCAGCTTGCATGTATTTGGAGAGTATATATAAAAAGATACCTCCAGCCATATTACTAGTACCCGAAATATGACTTCAGCAAATCTTATTCTTCTCCCTCGTCATCACTTGGCTATTGTTTTTCCTACAATTTTCAGTTATAACAAATACTTTGTAAAAGTACCCAACAATATTTCACATTCCTTGTAATATTAGAAAAAAGTCATACCTTGTCCTCAAGATCCTCGAGTGTCAAATTAGCAATAAGGGTTTCTGCAACTTCTAGATCATTGAGAATAGATCCAACCCCTTTCTTGTCATCTATACCAATTGTATATATAGATATATATTACTATGTAATTAATATTCTTTGTGATAATATAAGGCAAAATGAGAAACAATAAAACCGGTACCTTTTCTGGATGCAGCCACCCAATATTTGGTACAAATCAATGCTTCCACCATCTCTGGTTCAAGACGACTGCGGAATGGATCAATAACACGCCCTCCAGCACTAAATGCTGATTCAGAAGGAACCGTGGATGCTTGGATAGCCAGGGCATCACGAGCAAGTACAGATAGAATTGGATATACTTCTTGATGACTTTTCCACCATGATAAGACATCAAATTTATTAGAACCAGTTTTAGGACCCCTCAACGGTGGTTCTGCCATGTATTTCTCCAAGTCACTTGTCTCACCTTCATCAACTAACCCATGTGTCTCATGCAAGTAGTTCTGGAAATCTTCATCGTCATCTTCTTCCATAATATCACATCTCTTTGGATCAACACCGTTAGCAGAGCCATGTCCAGTAGCACCTTTTGGAATAGAAGCATATGCTTGATACATTTGCTTGACAACAACAATGAACTCTTCTACTTTGCCATGATACAACAATGGCCCATAAATTTTTCTCATGTAAAACTCTATTGCCTTTTTCTTGTACCTAGGATCAAGAAAGAAAGCCACAACAAGCGCAATATTTGACTTCTTCCAGTACTTCTCAAATGTAGTGTTCATAGAGTCTGTCATTCTTTTGATAGTGTCGTTAGCACTGCTGCACCACTCAGAGATTAAAGCCTTAATTTCACAAAAGCTTTGGTAAAACAGATTTGCTGTCGGATATAAAGTACCTGACAATAACTCAGTGATATCATTGAACCTCTTCAAGCATTTACAGAGTATTTGCGCCTGATCCCAATCTTCATCTGATGGGTTTACCCCTGCATACCTTTTCTTGTCAGTTTCATAAAGCCTGTCAAAAGCATCTTTGTAATATATGGCATCCTTCAACATTAGGTAGGTTGAATTCCATCTTGTCTGAACATCCAATGAAAGACCCCTAGTTGTGCTCAGTCCACACTCCTCTGCACATTTAATAAAATCCTCCCACTGCGGAGGAGAGCACTTCACAGCCAGTACGAATGTTCGAATACCCCAAATTGCATCTCCAATTTGCTTCAAACCATCTCTAGCAATCAGATTAAGTATGTGATTGGCACATCTCACGTGAAAGAACAAACCATCACAAACTAAGGGGGACTTCTTCATAAATACTTTAATCACATCCTTAACAGCAACTTCATTTGCAGCTGCATTATCTAGAGTAAGAGAGAACATTTTCTTTTCAAGAAACCATTTGAAGATGCTTTCAGTGAATGATTGAGACAAGTTTGCACCAGTATGCCGCCCTTCTACATGCATGAACTTGATAATCCTTTTCTGAATATTCCAATTATCATCTACCCAGTGCATAGTGACACACATATACCCTTTGTTTTGATTTGATGTCCACATGTCCATTGTTGCACTCAAGCGGCAATTAACTGTTTTAAAATACTCATAAAGCCTTTTCTTTTCTTCCACAAATATAGCCATCAATTCCTTCCTAACAGTAACACGACTCTTGATAGGAAAGCTTGGGTGGAATGATTTGATGAACTCAACAAAATATTCATGCTCGACAGGGGTACTCATGCATGATGATTGCCAAATAAAACTTTCTCAGCGAGACCTCTAGATCATATCTATAAGGTTCCACAGAACTGAGACCAGACTCATTCTTCTCTACTTTCAGCTGTTGTTGTCCTGCTAATTTGGAATGTTGTGACTTAGTGTGCGACAAAAACACTGATGTACCATTTCTGCCTTTACGATGGGCTTCATAAGGGCAGTATTTGCATTTTGCCCACTCTTGTTTAACTATCTTGCCATCCACCTGAACTGACTTAATATACTTAGTGAAGTGATCCCATGCCGCTGACGTGCACTTCTTATGTCTTTTTCCATCAGGTACATCTGTTGCCTCATCATCTCTCTCTCTTACATTGTTGGCCTCAAGATCAATAACATCAGAAGGATTATTAACTTGCTGGCATGCCGGTGCTGCACCTGTGTCTCCCGTCTTATTAGGTGCCATTTTGAGACGATGCCTATATAAAAACAATATATAAACCATTAATAATTAAGCAATACACCCGCTATACAAAATCATAGCCTAATAGTCATAGGTTCGAGATATATATGGATGCATCATGCATGCAGTGATGCAGATATATAGATCTATTCTGGGTAGGAATTTGTATCAACTATCCAGTGGGGATCGACATATACATGATCTACACCAAGGCCCCAAAAGATCCATACAGCCACGATGGTCCATAGATGCTAGAAAGATCAGGATGATGCCATCGATCTTCTAAGAGATAACTCATTCGTTCACCAACAAAACGATTCGTACATGTGCGGTGTGCTGGCCTGGAGTGAGGCTGGCTGTAGAAAATCGAAACTGGAAGAACAATTACAAGATTGGGTAAAAAAATAGTAAAATGCAATACGATACCTAGTGCTGACTTGCTGCGTCGAAGAAAACAGTAGCACGCACGAGGGTAGCGGCGGCCGGGGAATGAAGATGCAAAGTAGATGTCGCTGACAGCGACCTGCATGCGAGATGGTTGTGGAACCAGCCGTTGTATCCTTAGCTTTTAGGGAGTCTGCCGATGAGTAATTTTATATGGTTTGTGTGGGCTAGTTGGACCGGGATTATATTATTTTGGGCTATGCAAAATAATCGGATATCCTCTTATAAAGGTCGGATAATCCACTTTAAATTGTCGGATAATCCATATCCACCGGATATTGCCAATACCATATCCTCCTCCATATCCGCAACAATCGGATGCGGATTATCCATATCCTCATGGATATCTAAAACCTTAATCCATATCCTCGTAACGCGGATTCGGATCGGATCGGATGCGGAAATTATCCACGCCGCTTTCACCCCTAGTAATAACTATTGCTTTGATTCATCTAAGTGAGATTCAGTTTACTGAGTCGACATACTTGTTGTTTTGGGTAATATTATTATATGTACGATGTGTTGTTATAATATTTACAGCCACCATGTATAACAACTTGGTGATGTTCCCGAAATGAGTTCATAAAAAATTGTTATGCTAAACCCTACAGGTAAATTAAGTTCCAACATAATAATAATGTGATGACCGACGCTAGCTTTGGTAATATAATATATTAATAAATTCTTGATTATCTGTAATTGAATTAATTATTGTACATTATATCTTAAATATTGGGAGGTAATTCGAGTAATTATAATTGGATTCTCAAATGTAATTTGGAATAAGAAAAGGGAGTGCAATAATATTACGTTAGTGACCTGTAATATTATTTAAGTATTGGAATAGTGGGATAGGCTCAGAGTTAGGCTCAATACTTAAGAATCTCTAATCCTGTTCACCTTGGGATCCCTACTCTAGCTCTATATATACATCATTAAGATCATGGGATTGAGACACAAGCAACCTAACATGAAACACGTTGGCCTCCCCCTCTCTCTCTCAAGTTTCCATAGTCGAGCTTTATCATCGTGTTGTTGTTCCACCGGTACAATACTAAGAGGTGTTTGAGATATACAGTAAAAGATCTCGAGGTACTGAGACCCCATGATCATCAACAGACGATCAACCCCTTAACCGCGGCCGACCACCACCGCCGCCCGACGTCAGCTACCGTGAGCCACAACCCACCGCCGCAGCCTACGCACATCGACGCCCGCCGCAATTCGCATGCGAAGCCCGCGCTTGGCAATCACCGCACTGTAGCCCTGTCATCATCAACTGTGATCAACCCCGTGACCGCGACCGACCACCACCGTCGCCCGATGTCAGCCACCGCGAGCCGCAACCCACCGCTGCAGCCCGCGCACGCCGACGCCCGACGCAGTCCACACGCGAAGCCCGCGCTTGGCGACCACCGCACCGCAACTTATGAGCCGCTGACGTCATCCGCTACCCGCGCACCTCCGGTGACCCTGCGACACACGAGCTGCTCCCGGCCACTGCATTCAACGAACTTCTTGAGATCCAAAAAGAAGGATTCGACTACTTAACAGATTTTGAGATCAAACAATTTCCTCCAATGGTCTAAACCTCTAGATGCATTGCGGATAGGTTTATTGTTGTTATTGAATTCGTGACGTGTGCATAACGAGATCCTCACAAATCCCAACATACCCCACTATCATAAATATTGTCTATATAGTTAAATAATATCAGTTAATCATTCTTACACATCACATCAGCTTTATTTCACTATCATCCACTCATATAGTTTTGATTACTAGTCGCTTCACATCATCTCTCTCAAACTTTTACATCAAATCAAATTTAATTATTTCATTTTAAAATATTATTCTAATATAAACCCAAAATTTTACCTACATTTAACTATACCATACTTTTTCAAATTAACACAGATTAGCAAAAAAAAAAAAAAAATAAATTATTTTGAATGAACATTTTTGCATCCAAGCATGTCCTTAAAGTTCACCAAATAATCCTAAATTATCAACTTTAAAAATATTAAGGGTGTGACTGGATATAGAAATTTTCCATCCACATTCAATCAAACTCAAAATTTAATTCTACTTCAACTCAGTCTTACCATCTTCAAATTAATAATACAAAACAATCATTTTTACACGTCACATCAATTATACCTCACGTTCAGCAGTTCAAATAATTTTAACTGACCATAATTTCGCATCATCTCTTTTTTACTTTTACATCAAATCAATTTTAATTATTTCATTTTAAATATTATTTTAATATAAATTGAATATCCAACGTACGACTAGCAATATCACATTTTTCTAAATAAACCCTTTATAATCCATTTTGAATGGAAATTTGTAAGTGTTGGATTTTTGAAGTACGAACCTAGCGCACGCTCAGCGGAATTTTAAAAATTTTCTTATCAATAACGAAGATCCAGCTATATTTGATACGACCTAGGTCGCGTGAATAATCAACGAAAACTTAAAGTTGTTCGTCTATGCTCTCGACTATGGTATCCACACAATCCAATTTTTCAATTCACAATCTAAGCCACTAAATCACTTCGGGTGAAGAAGCTAGGAATCCTCAACCAGAAAGTCGGAGAGTGTTTTCTTTCTCTTTCGATCCTGATCTCTCAATCTCTAAGATTTTTGGGATCTCTCAAAGTTTTTCTCTTATTCATCGATCCATGAATTTAAGACTATGAAGACATAATGAGGTACTTATGATTAGGTAAAACCTAATTATATGAGTCTTAGGAGACCCTATGGCCCAATAGGTAATCGGACCTAATCCATTTAATAATTTAATTAAATATAATTTTTATTTAACTTAATTAATTATTTTCTATTAAATAGAAAATAATATCATTACTAATAAATAAATATATCAATCTAATTTAATATTTAACACTCTCGTATACTCTAAGTCGGAAAACAGATTGCACATTGTGTGATCCTATAGGCCTTCATATATTGACATAAATCTAATTTATGATCCTTGCTAAACTGCGAGATTGTGTCGAATGACGAAAACAGAATATGAAGTACGCTCATATGGACAAAACGAACAAACCTTTAGTGTAGAACTCAATGGTGATACGGTCGCTTCATTCACGATCCACTCGATTAAGCTTAGGATAAGCTTATGATTTGAGCGTGTCTATCCAAACAACTTGATCATTTTATCTCATCTTACTGGTTCACTTTAATTAATTATATTTGGACACCATTTCAAATATAACTAGTACGAATTCTGTGCGATGCACGAGTAAAGGATATTCATTAGTATTTATAAATTAAAAATGTTTGTTAAATAATATTTATAAATTAAGATTATTGAAACAATATGTGATACAATTTACCTATATTAATTAATTGAAAATGTTATATGGATTTTATATCATGACAATTACATAAAACATGTCAATTTAAAATTCGTACACAACCCGTATGTTGCACTTTTTTTTTTCTTTTTTCGGAACAATAGAGATTATATAAAAGGCACAAATGTGCAAAGAGCAGCCATCAGCTGAATACAAACAGCCAACAGCTCAAAAAGTGAGAGAACAGGTCAAAAGACTGCCTAGAACCGACCCCAAAAGGGTAATACACAAGAACACTAAAAAATACACAAAAAAAAAAACACAACACAAAGACCCCAATTGAGTAATACCCGAGTTTCGGATCCCAACAGGGTAATACGGTGACACTAGGGCTCACAGAGGCCAACGGTCCAAACCTAAAATACAAGACTAAACCAAGAAACAAAACAGAACAAACACAACTATAAGCTAAGCAAAAGCTAAACAAAACAATTCAAGCTCTTCCCAAGCAGCAAGACCAAGCAGAGCCAGCAGAACCAAGTCAATCCAGAGTGAATCCCACAGCCAAATAGGACCAACCCGAAACAGCCGAACACCAACTCGGTGGCCTAATGAAGTCGAGTCCTAGCTCCAGAACACCACCCAAAATAAAACTTGAACCATAACCTCCACACCAATATGCCTCAGGACCCACACATGGCCGAACCCACTAACACCACTAGCGAGTCCAACCAACCCGGGGGACCCCCAAAACACGAAGGATGTCGAGGCTACACCTGAAACTGCCACAGTCCTCCACCCAACACTGCACCACCGCGGCCAAAACCATTGGCCGGAAGACAGTGCACCGGTCCACCCCAGACCCACCACCGGAGTAAGAGGAGAATGCTGGAGAAAAGCAGCGGAGCTCCGACCTTCCGACACCAACGACATCGGAAATTGGGGCACCATCCACCCTGTGGGAAACTCCCACACTATCACCATCGCAGCTCAGGAAGCCGAAAAAGGAACTCGCGAACCGGCAACATAGGTCCTACACCAATAAAGGAAGATGAAGCTTACCTGAGCAGCGCGTGAAGTCGGGCGGAAGCCAGGCGACCGATGGACGACCACCGGGTCAAACTCAATCGCCGCCGAGGAAGGCCAACGTGCTGCGATTTGAGGGAAAGCCGAGGTTAGGGTTCGAGATAGAAAAGAGGATCGAGAGTTCAATAACCCCCATCCCGTATGTTGCAC